GAGAGAGAGAGAGAGAGAGAGAGAGAGAGAGAGAGAGCTGAGGAAGACAAATGTGTGAAATACTCTGCACCAAGCCTGGTGGAGAGCACAGTAACTATTGTTAATGGTAGTCATTGTTAAGACATTGGGACTGTTGCCAAGTAAGATCTGGATAAGTTTAGCATGGACACAGACAACATCAACCACTGGGCAACAGAGGGCAGAAAGGAAGTCAGGGTCACAGCTTCTGCCAATTCTTGGATGTGCTTGAGGCTAGTGGGCTCTTCCACATTACAGTCTGATCTTTCTGTTTTGGGCATTTTACTCACTGTTTTTCCAGTAAGGAAAGGAAGGTGTATTTTGACTCACAGTTTGAGGATCTCATTCACCATTATGGAAAAGTGGTGGCAAGGACGTTAGGTAGCTGGTCAGGAAACAGCCAGGAAGCAGTGAGAGATGAACCCTCATCTCAGCTCACTTTCTCCTTTGTTTCAGTCCAGGCCTCCACATGCAAGGTGGTTCTTCCCACCTCATCCCAAACCTAGAAACTCCTTCACAGACAAGCCCAGAAGTTTGTCTCCCAGTTAAACCTATGTCTTATCAAGTGTTAATTGTCACACTTTGCTCAGAAGGAGATGCTAACATAAATGTGTTAACGATTACAGACTGTCCCCCAGTGACATTACTCTTATGGTGGGTATCCCAAGACTGCCCATGGGGATTCTTGCTCTAATGTTCTTAAAGGGAGATGGTTGCAAGCAAGCTACACCCAGGACTCTAAATCCAGCCTCAAGTGTTTACCTTCTTTGCCAATGCATTGACTCAAATTTCAAAGTGAGTTGAAGAACCCCATTGTCAGTGGAGTCTCAGGATCCCCACATTTGTCCATGACTAAGTTATTACTGAATTTTTTGGAATGCCTTTGGTGTTGAATTTTACCATCTGTGAAGTGCACATATAATAAATCTCCACTTTGTCTCTTAGTAATCTCTTATCCTTACCAATTTTACTTTCTGTATTAGCCAGGGTTCTCTAGAGTAACAAAAATTATAAAATCTCTCTCTCTCTCTCTCTCTCTCTCTCTCTCTCTCTCTCTCTCTGTGTGTGTGTGTGTGTGTGTGTGTGTGTGTGTGTATAATTCATTAGAATTACTAATACAAAAACCAGTGTGTAGGGAAGATCAGAGAACAGATCTGTATGGACTGGAACAGGAGAACAGAGGTGTCTATTTAATATTATCATCAGTCATGACCCACACCACACTCAGGAGTTTGCAAACGTATTTAACAATCCTGGTTACAAATACAAGTTAGAATCAACTAGGAGTTTTAAAAGCAGTCAATTCTTTAGGTCCACCACCTACCCACCCACTCAAATATTCTGATTCAGTGGATATGGAGAAACAGCTGAGAATCAGATTTTTGTGTGTTGTGGTGTGGTGTGGAGTTGTGTGTATATGTGGGGTGTGGGGTGTGTGGTGTGTGCGGTGCGATGTGGTGCGGTCTGGAGTGGAGTGGAGTGGTGTGTGCTGTGGTGCGGTGCGGTGTGGTTTGTGTTGTGGTATGGTGTGGTGTGGTGCGGTGCGGTGTGGTATACAGGATTAAACCCAGGGCATCTTGTATGCTAGGAAAGTGTGATGACTATTCTTGGTTTGTCAACTTGATTACACCTGGAATTAACTAAGACCCCAAAGTGAAGGGCACACCTGTGAGGGAATTTTGCTTAATTTGAAGTAGGAAGATTTACTTCTGAGCTATTTAGTCAGAAAACACCTTTAATTTAGATCTTGAGATGGGAAGACCCATCTCTAATCTGGACTATGCCTTCTTCTGGTAGCCTGTATACAGGACATGGATTTGTTCTATGCCTATTTGTCTTGTCTTTCTAGAGAATCTATTCCTTCACTGGCATTAGAACCTACTTTTTTGATATTCCAGCATGGACTGAAGACCAGCTGAGACATCCAGTCTCGTAGACAGAGAAACTACTGGATGCTTGGACTTTTCATTGAGAGCCAGCCATTGTTGGCTTAGACAGAAGCCTGTAAGTCATTTTAATAAATCCCCTTTCTATATATGTAGAGATTCATTCTATAAGATCTGAGACTCTAGAGAACCCTGACTAAAATGGAAAGTAACAGCCACCCAGGGAATCCTCAGCTCTCTTTACATATTTTTCCTTTTAAGACAGGCTTTGAGTAAGTTGCCCATTCTGGGCTTGAACTTGTCTGTGGTCCTAGTAGACCTTTACCTTCTGATTCTATTGCTGGAATTACTGTCCTTTACCCACTGTGCCCAGCAGCAGAACGTTTGTCAAAGACCATAAGTGACTCTAGTGTGTGGCTGATGCTAACAGCTGCTGTCACAGGATAGCACTGGCAATGCAAAAGACAAGAACAGCTCCATAATCAGTGGGTCTCAACTATGACTAAGAGCCGAGTCCACCTTTGCATTCTGTTAGTACTTGGCAGCTGATGTCAATGGGGTTCAGTCTGTCATTGAGGCTCAAAGGAAAGGAACTCCTGGAACAATGACAACAACCTCTGAATTGTAGGCTGTAGGTCCGCCATTTTCTTCATTACTTTGAAAATACTAGTCAGATAATTTGTGTCTCCTGTCCTTGGTCTTCCTGTCCATGGAAAGAACAGATTGGATTAGACACCCTAAGGAGTCAATCTGTGATTCTGAGTTTCCTGACCAGGAATCCACAGTCACACTCATCTTCTCTGCACACTACATTTTGGATGCCGCCCTGGGAATCTGAGTCATAAGACCCAGCTGTGTCTCTGCTAAAGGCAGATGCCAACCTGGGATGGGTGGAACTGGAGCTCCAGCCTGAGCAATGCCTTCTCCTGATGTGATGTGTTTAAAGGCCACCCACTTTACTTGCAGTATCAACATCCAAGTATTCCCTGGCTTCCTGGTGAGCATGTGTCCTGGTCCTCACTGGTATCTGCACAGGAAGTGTTGGAATGCGGACGTTTACCCAATGTGAATACTCAGGCATCTTCCCATGAACCTGTGGAGCCCAGCCAGCACTTGCTGAGGCACTGTGCTCTTTGCCCCCTCCCTTATCAGTCTCTAGCCGCCTCCTGGATCTTGGTTCCCTGAGCAGAATTTAAGGAAGTTCATCAAACAACAAAATCAGTTTATTGCTTATGTTGAATGTGGCAAGCTTTGTGCTAGGAATGCCATACTTGGTCTCCCCCAACCTGCCCCAGGCCACCTGAAATCTCTATTAGGAGGAGATTGTCCACACAAAGGCTGGCACAAATTGTTCTGCCCAGCCTGTAAACTTTCAAAAAAAAAAAAAAAAAGCACAAAATCTACCTTACACTTAGGACAAATATGCACTAATGCATGCCGGGTTAGGTACTATGATGGAGAGGAAGCCTACCTGAGCAGAAGGCAGAGCAAGGATGTTTAATCACATGATACAAGAGGAAGCAAGGAGAAGTAGGAATGTGGCTGGAGATGAGGCTTTGCTATAATTCTGTATTGTGTACAGGAAGGGGCACCTGACAGTACTGATGTGTGCCTTCTTGTCCCTCTCTCACATCGTGCCCTGCTCTTTTGATGTGGGAATTGCCATTCCATTGTCTCAGCACCAATGGGAAAAGAGGGGGAAAGGCATTGCTAGACCAGAAGAGGGTAGGATTCAAACCCGGCACTTCTACCCATCCTGACTGCAGGCTGCCAAAGCAGACCCTGAAACAGACTCCAGGGACCCCTGATGGTGTTGAGGAAAAATAGCCCCTGTGATGCTGCTCACTTTCATGCTCCATTCTCTCAGCACACAAAGAAATAGTATGAGGCAATGTGAGAGGACATGTGTTGACAGAAGAAACTTCAGGCACTCATCAATTCAAATTGATGCTCTGTACATGGCACCATGCCTGTGACTCTACACTTTACAACTGAACTGTAGTTCCTAAGAAGCCAAATGGTATATTGCTCTTCTTACTGCATCTTTAGCATGTGTGTGTGTGTGTGTGTGTGTGTGTGTGTGTGTATGCGTCTTGTGTCTGAGTATGTGTGTGAGTGTCTGTGTGTGTATCTGTCTGTGTGCATCTGTGTGTATGTGTGTGTATGTGTGCAGGCACATGCAGATGTGGAGGTCAGAGGACAACTTTGGGGAATTGGATCTCTCTTCCAGCATATAGGTCCCAGGGATCTCTCTCAAGCAGATCAGGTCTGTAAGCAGGTACTGTTACCCACTGAGGCCTCTCATAAGCCCTCACTGTCTTAGTAATGCCCTAACCCCCTTCCCTGTCTTCGGCAAGCAGGTCTCAAAAATGATGCTCTATGGTCTCCACACACTCCCTCCATCAGTACAAACTTCAGGGCATTGGGGCTGGTAGAGCAGAACTCTCCTATCTGTACTTTTTACACTTTGAACAATGAACCATAACGAAAGGCAGACAGTGTTCACCATAATTAAGGAAACAGAATAATGTCAGGTGCCTCTCTAAAGAGTAAACTCATTTTCATTTTGGTCAAGTAAAATAATAATAGTAATAATACTACCAATAAATGAATAACTTGACTATTTGATATACAGACCCACTATCCTGAGGTCACCCCACAGTGGGAACCCTCTGCTCTTAGGCTTTCCAGACATAGTTGGGTTACTGGAGCAAAACCCAGTATAAGCCCTGGTCATACAGCCATGTGCCATGAGAGAGACTCACCTGTTTCAACCAAGAGGTGTCCGTTCCTAATTCTTTTTTCTTTGTTGTTATTATTATTTTATTTATCCATCTATCTATGTATTTATTTTCTGTCTATTGGTGTTTTGCTTGTATGAATGTATAAATACCACGTGCATGCCTAGTGCCCTCAGGCATGCACCTAGAGGGTGTCAGATCCCCTGGAACTGAAGTTACAGACAGTTATCAGCCAATGTGTGGATGCTGTTCCTCTAGAAGAGCAGCCAGAGCTCTTAGCCACTAAGTTAACACTCCAGCTATCCTTACTAAATCTTATGAAAGTATTTGATAGATTGTCAATATCCTTGCTTAAGTTTTCCTTTTTTTTTATTTGAACATAAATTTCTCACCAATTTTGTTTTCATAAATACACCTCATCATTTTGATTCTGGTTCCAACAGTTCAGCCTCCCCTAAGAGTCCTCATTGGGTTAGTACTTGAGAATTAAGTGTCCTGCTCTGCACATGTCTCAGAGCTGACCAGTCATCTGACCAGGCACATTAACCACAAAGAAAACAAAGACCTGAGGCCTTGGCCTACTTCTGGCCTGGGATCCTGAGATGTCACACACCTTAAATGTCTCCTTTGGACCTAGCCATGCATGAAGATTCCAGTTCACTCTTCCCACAGCAGAATAACAGTCCCTTGAGTACAGCACATGGTCACAAGTGCCCTGGTGTGCTCCTGCTCACCCCATCTTCTGTTTGTTTGTTGAGAATTGCAGCGCTTCCCCTTAGACATCAGGAGGTGATCCTGCTTCCCAGGTGTCAGGAGAATGGAGAAATGGAGTCAGGTTGACTGTCCCTGCCACATATCTCAGAGCCTCAAGCCTCAGTCTTTGTCTCGGCCTTCTTCATTGACTTCACAAACTCCCTGACTTCTTCTTCCAAGACTTTGTTCCTCCTCTCAACATCCTCCCGGGAACGCTCCATATTTCGAAGGCTGATTTCCAGGGCTGCAAACTTCTTCTTCTCCATCTCCAGCTCTTCATTGAGCTTCACCACCTTAGCCCAGACATCGTAGTTTTCCTTCTCCAGGCTGCAAGGAAAATCAAAAGGACACCAGAGTATTAATTCTAAACCCTTCCTTCACCCATGTTCACTGCTCCTGTTCATTTGCCTCTCTGAGACATTCAATGCCAATTGGTGAAGTTGCCAACCTAGACATTGCCTCATATGTATGTCCTTTGTTCCAAGAGAAGACCTGAATTCCCAAGGCACTTCAGGGCCTCACTAACACCCCAGTGACAGCTCTCTTGTTGTGTTTCATGTCACTTTATGCATTGTGTCCCATCTTTAACCTGACAAACTATTTGAAGGAAGGGGCCACCTGTAACAGAGTTGTGTTTCCATCTTGCAGCACCTATGTTTGTCTAGTTCAGCAAAGGCTATGGATGCTCCGGATTCTAGATCCACAACATCTCTGTGCACATGGTAGCTCTTTATCTTGCTCTAGTGGACAGCCTGGGCCAGAACCCTTCCTAGCTAAGACTCACTGGGATCAAGATTGGTGACAGCAAAGAGAAAGACACTTTGGAAGCTAGAGGCTCTGGGGTCCCACTGAAATTCTAAATCTTCCTCTGGATGGGAGAACTCTAGGTGTCCTACATTCCCATGACATTCATTGCTACTGCTAAAATTCTATTATAGCCCAGGTGCCCTGGCAAGCTATGTGGAACTAAACCTTAGGGCTGAGTGACCGTAGTCCATTATTTAAGTATAAGGAGGAAATTTCAGGTCTGTGGGTAAAATAAAGATTGTGTGATTGGAAATTTGCTTCAGAATTTTATCCTTTGGGTACTGCCTCCTTCCTCCCAAGCTCATTCTGTGAGTGCTCCTTCATCTCAAGCTATTCCTCATCTTCCCTGAGTACTATGCCTGTGCTCATCTGCAGACATAAACTGCCATCTAAGCCCATGTCTCAAGTTCTGTGTTCAACAACTGTGGCTGTCTCTATATGGAACACTCCACTCAGAGCCTTGCCTGCCCCCATTGTCTTTCTCTTTCTACAGTAAATTTTCTCATTCCTTTAGACCCTCACATTCCAAATTCAGTCTTCTTTTCCAGCTTCCCATACCCTTCTGGCTTGGAGAGAACATAATGAGATGCTGTGCTAGACCTTGACACTGATTGCAGTGAAGAGTAGAATAAGCAGGACTTGAGAGCCAGTTCAAGGTTCAAACCCACCTCCACAAGAATCAACTGCATGGCCTTCAAGAATACTTTGATACTTCTGGGGCTCCCAAATCTTCTGATAAATGGGATGCTTCCTATGTGGAATCAATTAGAAGTCACTGCCAAGCTGCTAATTCTCCTTCCTCTGTTATGGATGGTTTAACAGGTGTCTCAGAGACTGCTATATTCCAGAGGACTAGACATCTCTATGGTCATTGGTCCTTTGCCTGCTCTTCACTGGCATTCAGGCTAGGGCACAATGAGAGCCTTTTCTGGGACTGATTTGCTCCCTGATAAGGTATCACAGAAGTCTTATAAGTCTAGTGGTTGATTTCTAGGTCATCAGACAAAGGCCATGTTTTGCATGAGGGACAATCCTCTGTATGGAACAAAAGAGTGGATGGAGACTCACAATAGTCTTTCTTTCTTGTATCTAAATATTAATAGAAATACCCATAAATATGGAAGCCCATTATTCTCATTATGACAGGTTTTTTCGTTTTGTTTTGTGGGCCAAGCTGGACTAAAGTTACCTCTCTGAGAAAAGCTTTTCCAAGGGAGAAGAATGGGGAAAGAACCACAACAGTGACCATCATGGCTTGACAAAATTAAGGATGTAGTAGTGGTGTACATTTGTTGGCAGTAACCAGTCACTGAAGAGCCTTAAGGCCTGTTCAACAAGAGGGAAATCATGGCTGGTACAGACTAGCAAAATTGTGGATCTTGGAGGGGAACCTACAACCACTACTTTATTAAACCAGCATAATCCCTAATGACCATCTAATCTGTCCTTACACCCACAGACAAGTGTAGTCTTGCTACTCATCAAGGAAGCATATCTCTTTGCAATAGACAAAAGACCATTACATAAAACCACAACCAATCAAGCTGCAGTTATGGATTCTGCTCCCAGGGGACACATCTACAAAACATTCCCACACCTGGGGAAGAAAGAGTAAGAGGCAGAGGATCCAGGAGTTTTCTGAGAGATTTTTGTCTTCAACCACTCAGAAGCTAAACCCATAAACCCTCACCAATATGACCACCCAAACATAGGCAAGCCAAAGTGAATGGGGAAGGGCCCACAAGGCTTCAAGCCTACACAAAGAATAACAAGCAACTAAGGGATGAGAGCAGAGAACTAGCCTTCCCCAGGGAAGAGAACACCAATTGTCATCCGACACCAGATGATCAGCCCTGAAAAGTTTCCCTCAACTCAGCTAAGCATATTCACCATCAAGGCTACTTGGGCCTCATTTTTAAGTTTCCCCGGATTTATTCAGCAGGGCATGGTTTTCCTATCTAATCTTTCTCTGTTTATCCTTTCCTTTATTAGGTTTGGTTGCTATGGATTGCTCTGTCCCCTGAAATACTTTATGCTGTGACATTTTAGAATGTGGAAAAAATAAAAATATATACTTCCTTCTAAACCCAGAAACCAGGTACACTCAGAAGCTTTCCTCGAGTACTTACTTTTTAATCTGTCCCTCATACATGTGCTTTTGGGTTTCTATCTCCTTTTGTAGATGCTGTACCATCCTCTGCAAAGAGTCAAGATCTTCCTCTCCAGAACTCTTGCTTCCAGACTCTATTTCACAATCCCTGCTGCCAAGAAGGTCTCTCTTGGAGTCACAGGCAGGAGGAGAGAGTACACCTGCTGGACTCCCTGGGGGCACCAGTGGAGCAGGGACATTATCGTAGGTAGAAGTCCGCTGGTCATTGGAAAGGTGGCGCAAGTCTTGAGACATAGTTCTCCTGTGTCCTTCCCCTGTCTTAGCCTCTGAAGATGGAGACCAGAATTCATTTTTAAAGATTTCCAGTTTGCTGCTAGTGGTACCTTGGAATGCTGACGTCAGGAAACACTTCCGGTTGGGGAGAGTTTGAGTCCTTTTACGAGACTGCACCTTCCAGTCTCCTGGGTTTTCCCTGGGGGCTTTCCCACTGCCCTCCTGATGCTGGTCACCTGGCTGTGGTCCGGTGGGGCTGGTGGCATCAGGACTACTTGCCTGAAAAAAATAGCCATGGATATTATATAAGGGTTTTTTTTTTCCTTTCTGTGTGCCATGCCCCCAAGGTAAGGATTAGAGATGTGGAAGGAAGTTTTTCCCACTCACATGTGTGTGACACCCTTACTGGGTCACCTCAGTGATATGACAGTTAAGGGACTCATTCAAACTCTGGAGAGAAAGTATTTGCCCCATTGGTGTGAAAATCCTGAGCAAGGACTCTTTCATGAAATTAGGAGGCTTTGTCAGTTGTGACTGACATGTCACATATATGAAGCTCAATAAATGCCACTGAGTGGATTTCTATCACCCCCAAAATGGAGAACAAAGCAAAGCAGATGTGCCGTAGGTGAAAAACCAAGCAGCAAACTGGCAATGGCTTTATGATGCACTTCACAGATGGTGATGGGCTTCTGCTTGCCTGAGCTTATGTAGATTGAAAAGGAAAATATTAATGGCCAGGAAGAAATAGGCAAAGAACTTCAGGAATAGTTAGTTTGTATTGGAGAGATAGCTCAGCATTTAGGAGCACACACTCTTGCAGAGGGCCCAGCTTCATTTTCCAGCACCCACAAGCAGCTCACACACAGCTATAACCCCAGTTCCCAGGGCCTGACGCCCCGCCCCCTTCTGGCCTCTGTAGGCTCCTGTATGCATGTGGGGTTGGAGCACATATACTCAAGCAGGCTCATATATATATTTAAAGAACAAAAACATAGTTCACAGAGGAAAAATGAACTGATCCTGACACTTTAATAAAAAAAGATGTTTAGTCTCTCTTTTCATGATAATAGGAGCAACTTGGGTCAAAATTATTAAATTATATCAGGTTTGGTTTGTTTTTCTTGTTTTTTTTTTTTTTTTTTTTTTTTTTTTTTTTTGGAGACAGGGCTTCTCTGTGTAGCTTTGAAGCCTATCCTCAAACTAGCTTTGTTGAGTAGCTGGACTCGAACTCACAGAGATCTGCCTGCCTCTGCCTTCTGAGTACTGGGATTAAAGGTGTGTGCCATCAGCTCTTTATAAGACAGGGACACCGCTAAAACTGAAAGCACACTCGGTGAAAGACAGACCTTTTCATGTAGTGCTGTGAGAGAAATCTCACAGATGCTAATAACATTTATGAAAATACATATTCAAATGTATTTATCTTCTTGCCCACTACTCCCATTTCTGAGAATTGTATCTGCCTAAATACAAATGGAAGTGCGGGCAAGATGATTTATAGCAGTACAAAACCGCTGCGGAGGGGATCACAGTGTAGTCAAGGAATGGAGCATCATATAATTGCCAAAAACAGGGTCATATTGTCAGCTATATATACCGGTATGTGCTATAGTCTCTAGGATAATATTAGTAAGTTATAAAATGTGAGATACAGAACAGAAAAAAAATATAATTTTGTGTTAAAGGGAGAGATAAGAAAACAGTTTCTATTTACATCTTCTTAATTTGCATAAAGGAACTACTGAAGGCTGAGTGAAAAGCTAAGGCAGCAGGAAAGGGAGGTGTGTGTGAAGGGAAGTGTGATGGTCAATACTGTCAACTTGCCAGAATCTAGAATCACTACAGAGACAACGCTCTGGGCACGCCTGTGAGAAATAGAGCAAATTAACAGGGGCAGGAAGACCCTTAGCTTCAGGCAGAACCAATCACAGGGCCTTGAGTCCTGGACTGAAGAAAAGGAGACTGGGAGCTGGGCACCAGAGTTCCTCTCTTTGCTGCTGACTGTGACACTCTGTGACCAGCTGCCCCAAGCCCTTGCTGTCATAGCTTCTCTGCCTGTGGACTGTAATGTCCAACCACAGTAAGCTAACTGAAGCTTTACTTTCCTGAGGAGCTCTTACCAGGTATTTTCTCAAAGCAATCATGTAAGAAAGAACCAACACAGGTATGGATCAGGACGTCTCAGCTGGTAACTTATTATGATTTGCTGGTTTCAAACCATGTGGTTATATGTAAAAATCAAATTGAAAAGAAAGAGAGAAAAAAAAAATGAGTTCCACTAAGATGGGAAAGTGAGGGACTGAGATACCTTCTAGCCAACCCCCTGCTTCTGTAGGAGTACCTGGTCTTGCAGTGGGACTAGGGCCTCAGACAGGATGCCTGCTGTAGAGCATGCTAGTGTTGCCTCCTTGATTGACCCCTCTGACCTCAGATCCTCAGCCACAGTGAACATCCAGGAGAAAGAGCCCCAGTGTTGTGTGGACTCCAGAGCTGACCCAATAACTTCCTCAGCACAGTGGTTGCCCTCTCATTACAGGGCCACTGTAATGGACCAGAGCCATGGCTGTCAAGAACTGTGGGGATTTACTAACAAAGCCTGCATGGCTTTAAATTAATTAGTTTTAGAATGTTTGTGAGATGATGCAGCCAAAAACAAACAAAAAAATAAAACCTCCAACCATATATTAATTGCTTTTTCTCTCTCTCTAACAGTATCATAGGTGGCTTTCTTGGTCAACTAGAAATTTAAATTTTTTTACTTGACCTCATATTTTTTATTTTTTTAAAAAGGACAAGCTGCTATAAAAAGTCTCCATATCCTTTTTTAAAACATCTGTTCCTATAAATACATGAAAATATTTGACCTTTCTCAGTTGACGCCCTCTAATAGACTATATTTTGGAGACTACGGCGTTTGGCAACACTGAGAACGTGAGTTCCTAGCCTTCTGCACAGGCGAGGGGCTGACACTGTGGAGGCAGCTTATCAAGGAATGAGGATAGCTACACGAACACATCCCCTTCTCTGAGGAAGGAATCACGTTCAGAATCATCAGGACTCCCACCCGCTCTGGACTTGCCCTCAGAGTGCTCAGCAGCTCTTACACATGCAATGCTGAATTTGTTTTGAACTTCCCTGGGATTTAGTCTTGGAGAAAATTTTAGAAAAGGTCCCCAGCCTGTGGGCAGTTTTCACACATGTCAGTAGCCCCAGGTTTTCCCAATGTATTCTGAAGGCTCTGTGCCGGCTACACCCATGGTCCCAGCATCATCCATCACTGCCTCGGAATGACCAGGCTAAAGGAAGCATCTGGCAGAGCAGAAGGCATCTTACCGTGTTATTTAAGCTGTCTGTCCTAGAGAGTGGCGACTCTTCTGTGGCATCCCACCCTACAGAGCTCCGGGCCACTGGAGCCTTCTTGGCATCGTTTTTCTGGACAGGGGGTGACAGTGGCACATCCTTAGACTTGGGAAAGAGGACTTCATGGTCCCTGATCATCATCGTCATCACTCTTTGGATCTGTGGAGTCCCTGAAGGGAATAAATAGGAGACTTGTAGTGCTGGTCCATGGAACAGGAGCCTGGAAGCACTTCAGGATTGCTACCCCCCATGAGGACGCTTCCATGCTAGCCCGAAAACCACAGGCCTCATTTGCACTTCATGAGACCCTTCTTAACTATTTGGAGTAGAATATTTTTGGTGAGAAGATATACTAAAATAAAGATATGGGGGGTGGTAATCAAGGAGCTGTTGAGGACATCTTCCACCTATATTGCCCGAATCAGGTTTTATCAGGCAGCAGGTTAATAAAAACAGTCAAGAGAACAGGCATCTTTCTCTCCTGCTGTGCTCTTTACTATTGTACCACAGCAAATGGGGTCAGCAACACTTCCTTGACACATGCATGGCAGACATGAGTCCTCCTGGCCAGGACTTTTGATCAAGTCAAGACACAGCCTTGGAAAGCTTTTCAGCCTAGCTTTACAGAAGCCTTTTTGTGAACAGGCTTATAAAACAAAACCCCGTTTGCTCTTCTTGGCTAAGGGTATTTTAAAGTCATACAAAAGACTGGGAAACACCAGTTAATTGGTTTGAGGTTAGACTATGTTCTGTGACCATTTGGGCAGGGGACATAATTCCCACACTACTCTTGAGGCGGTTAATACAAGTCAGAAGAGAAAACAAGTGTCAAGCTTAGTAAGAGGCAACGCAAGACACAGACACTAGGGGCAGTGTTCTTGCTGTCACACCCTGGGCACCTCCATTGCAGGATCAGCCTATGTACCTCTCATGATCACAGCTGGGTCTTCAACCTTTGACCTGATGAGGTTCACTCCAATCACAGTGGCCAGGTTGTCCACACTCATCTTGTTGATGGCACAGTTCAGCTGGATTTCATGCAAAAATCTGTGGGCAGCCAGGAAACCCCCACCTTAGACAAAAAGAAGTGACCAGGAGAGAGCAATCCCTGGACCCAACAGTACACTTGTTGAATTCTAGCTCTTTCTCCTGTTTCGGAAATAGAGTGAACTGGCTCTGCCTGCAATAGTTTAACTGGAATCTAGAACTTCACAGACAAAGGAGGGGTGAGGGGCCAGGGGGGTGATGGGCTGGAGGTGGAGAATCTCACAACAGGGGCTGTTTGGGAGCAAGAGGTGACAAGGACTCAGATGGTTCAACAGCTTCAGGGGTTTGCCTTTACTTTCATTTCTCAGTATCCACCCCATCTGTGTCTCCAGAGAGGAAAAAATGTGTCGGGGGGCGTGTCTTAGAGGGGGTGGGAGAATCCATGGTGCTTCCTCACTCTCATCCTCTAACTGAAGAGTGGAGTACCTCTCACTCTCAGCAAGTACCCAGTGTCTAACCAGGAAGTTCCATTATATTTCCACCTGTCAGAGGCCTGATATCCTCAGATTGGTTGGGGAAAAAAAATGACTAAGCACATCATAAAAGGAATTCTGGATCATAAAAAATAAATAAATAAAAAATAATAAAAACAAAAAATACTTTGAAAGCGGGTAAAATGAAATACCATAAAACTCCAAATTTGAAAAATTATGTGTTCTCATGCTGAAGATGACAGACATATTATGGGTTGGTTTATTTTATGATAAAGGACATGCTTTTTGATTGGGTCTAAAGCATTCCTCTGTAGTTACACTAATGTAAGAAAAGATTCATCAGAAGAGAAAACACTCCAGAGATGTCACTGGATGGGATGCTACACCTAGTTTTGATTCTTACTCACAGTTTTTGTACCGTTGTGGTTTCCAGACTAAGACAATCATCTTTACAATTTAGAAATTACATCACAGCATCTTTTTTGAAAAAATAAGATGAAATTGAGGTGTGTATGGGGTAAAGATGCCCCATATTTGGGCTGGTCCACCTGCAAGGTATTAGCACAAGCACTTCATGTGGCAGATCCCAGAAAGGGCTGCAGGAAAATACAAATGGTGGCCTAGAATGAATGTCTCCAGGGTGTTAGTTTTGGTGACAACAGGGAGTCTAGGTTTTCTTGCATGCTCTGGGACAGGTCTGGAGTAAGGAATATGTTCACTTTTTGCACAGGTTCTTAGGGATCCTGATGACCTCATGCAAACAGAACACCCTCTCAGTGTCTACATGAATGGAGTTGACCAACAGTTCTGGACCAGAATCTGTGATCTTAGAGTAACAGTTTCCTCTTTTAACCATGGCTCCTTTCTGCTGTGGCTGGAGACTATGGCTCCACACAGGAGACTCACCTGCAGATGTAGCTCAGGAGACTGTAGTTGTCACGAGGAAGGATGGAAAGTTGCTTCACCAACTCCTGCTGAGCCTGGGAAGAGAGTTTTGACACTAGTAAGCAAGCCTGCTGTCTGTTTGTCAGCAGTGAATGTAGGGACATAACTGGTGCATCTGTGTAGGAAAAACACTTTGCTTGTCACTCCTGTTCCCACACAGGTCTTTGAGTTAAACTCAATTTGAAATTAAAATTCTGAGAATTCATAAAATATAATTGAAGCCCAGGCTAGTCTTGAACTCCCCATGTAGCCAATGATGACCTTGAACTTTTGATCCTCCTGCCTCCAGGAATGCTGAGATTGCAAGTGTATGCCACCATACCAATGTGTGCCGGGCTGAGGATCAAACCTGGGGCTCTATCCATGTAGGCAAGCAGGCTACCAACTGAGCTACATTCCCAGCTGCTGTTTTCTTCCTACCATGCATTTAAAAAGTCTGTTTGTAATAATGTTGCTCACCCACTCCTGACCTTGAGTGCCTGTAAGAATGGACTACGTGAAAACTCATGTTCATGGTGATTTGCTGAATGAATGAGGTATAATGATCCAAAAAAACAATCAAGCCACAATCTAATATCTCAGAGTGGCTTTAAACCCCATGGTCTTGCTGAGAACTTCTGGGACGTAGGTCAGACTGGCCTAGCTGGAAGGCACACATTTGGATGGGCAGTTCAATTTCTACAAAAGCTATAGATGTCATAGACCACGTGTGCCAAGGGAGAGGAAGGACAGGCTCCTCGCTCTTGCGGATCACAGGCTGGTAGAGCCTGTGGTCACCCTCTGATGATGTGTGGAATGGCATCTAGCACGACTCTTTTTAGGTGTTTTTCAAGTTTTATTATACATCATTCACAAAGGAGATCTGAAATGCCCCTGTAAATCAAGGGTTTTCCTATCTTCTCTCTCCCCTACGACACCTAAAACTCAGGTAGACTGTGCAGTCTGATTTTTTTCTTGGAAAACAGCTATATGTTGGCTGCATCACCATGGTTTTCTTCTACCTTTGAGATGTAAAATATTCCTTTGTGCCAGGATCTTCATAACCATAACTCCCCACAACCATTTCTCCCCACCAACAGTCCAGACAGGGAAGTCTGAAAGCTGTTTTCTCACTGTCCCGGATGTCCTAAGACTCAATCTGTAGCACAAATACTTAGAGAACTACCCAACTGGAAAAAAAAAATCTTAGTTACTAGTTAGTTTCACATGCCTTGGTCCTCCAGACAATTCCAGGCAAAGCAGACAAGGGTATTGTCTAAGTTTGTGCTGCCCAACACATGTGTTAATTGCCACATGTAGCTACTCAATTTAAATAAAATTAAGACTTTGGTTCTTCTGGTATTTTAGCCATATTTTTGTGGACATGCGGTTAGAAGTTAGCACAAGGGACAGTGAGTGATGAGATTGCATCACCACAGAAATCCTATTGCTTTAAGTAAATACTGAGCCTCATAGAATATGCACAAAGTAGCTATTTTAGTTATCAGTCTAGTGGATTTAGAATGACCAGCGGAGGCAGACTTATGTGTACATCTGCAAGAGTGTGTCCAGAGAGCTTTGACGGTGGTGGGGAGGGACACCCCCACTGTGAGTCTGGAGTTTTGGTAAAAAGAGGAAAGCAAGCTGAGCATGGGCATTCATCTGTGGCCGCACACTGCCTGTGGATGCAGTGTGGCCAGCTGCCGATGGATGCCCCTGATGCCATGCCTTCTCTGCCACCGTGCTCTGTGTCTTAAAACTGAGTCCAAATAAACCCTTCCTTCCTTACGTTGCTCTTGTTAGCATTTCACCACACCAGTGAGGTAGCAACTAATACAGTGCATAATTTGCCAAATGGAGGCGTGAAAGTCAGACCTGGGTCTTTTGGACTGTTTTGCCAATGAGAATGCACCACTGGGCTGGCACTGCTGCTGACACTCCAGTGTGACGATCCTACTAAGGGGTGTGGCCCTGTGACTCACTCTCACTACCAACCTTTGCCTCATCGGCATTCATGAGCTGCCCACAGAGAAGGAAGCCTTCATACTGGCTCCAGGGAACCACAGGCTCTGGGAGGTCTCGGAGGTAGAGCTTTAATAGAGAGGCCACCGTGTGCACATCTGTGTCCCTGAAAGAAAACAAGCTGCACTTAGAGAGTGGAATCCACTTACCCTGATGAGCCTCCAAGTCAAAGCATGAACCACAGAGGGACACCTTACAAAGGACCAGAGTCTGAGAAAGTCCCAGATCCAGACACCAGCTCCGGAAACAACTCCAGCCACTTTCTCTGCTTCCACACAGCTGCCTCAAAGGTGACATTAAGGTTCACCTTTTCATTAAATGCTCTGTAACTATTTTGATCTTTGTCTGCTTTCTATTTCTTCAGACCACTTAGTGCCTCACAGTTAACCATGTCTAATGAGTTTCTCATTTTGTGTGTGTGTGTGTGTGTGTGTGTGTGTGTGTGTGTGTGTGTGTGTGTGAACTCCTTTAAATCCTTGGTCCATTGATCTCCTTTACTCCCATAGTATTCAAAGCAGTTCTGAGGGTTTTTTTTTTTTTTTTTTTTTTTTTTTTTTGTTATTTCAGAAGAAAACCTGTGGGAATATCTATCCCATCAGGCCATAACACTTGGAACACACAAATGTTACCAAACACTGTGGTAGATGCTGGCATTTGAGAAGCCCAGGAGTCAGTAGGTCACAAGCATAGAAAGGGACAGCTTGAGAGACAGGTGTCTCTTTGGGTATAATCATGTGGTGGGATATCTGAAAAGTTCAGGTGTGTCAGCCTAGAGAGGAAACAGCAGTCCCCCACCGAGGGTCTGTGACATTCAGATGAATGTCAGCCTGGGTGACAAGGTAAGGCTATGTGGTTTTGGACTGTTTTGCCAATGAGAATGCACCACTGGGCTGGCACTGCTGCTGACACTCCAGTGTGACATCCTACTAAGGGGTGTGGCCCTGTGACTCACTCTCACTACCAACCTGATGTCTCAACTCAGGAGGCAGGTCTGGCCTGGAATCTGCATTTTTATAGCCTTCTGGCTGAAAGGATTACTTTTTAAGTGCTGGGGGGAGGGGGGAAGCCATATTGTCTATTCCATTATGTGAAGATTATACGCACTCAGAGTTACAGCATCAGTGAAATAGGTGACACCACCCTGCTCCCTCACCTACAAACTGTCATTGCTTCCTTCCTTACTGTGAGAGAATACAGACGGTGCCAAAGCCTTGAAGAGACTAAGAGTGCAATCTGTGAGCCAGCCCAGGAAGTCTGCTGGACCCTGAATTGCAGTGGTTGCATTTATTCTGCTAAAAAAGAAACTAAATCTGAACCTATCGCATAACAGTGTGTTTATTAGGAAATTTAGTCACTGCTTGAAAATTGTGGAGTGATGTTCATCAACCCAGGTGGTAGAGGTTGCTCTACTCCTAAGCTACATGGGAAGCACTGTTGTGGCCTGTCAATGAGGCATCTGAGGCAACACAAACAAAAATACCAGAACTTGAGTGTGAATGTGTGTGTGTTTCTTTTCTTTTTCTGTTTAGTTGCCAGTTTCTAGCTTTGACTTCCACACCACCCCCACCACACCACCCCATTCCTACCTCTTCAGCCCATTACCCCCACCCCCTGCCTCTGAAGCCTGTGAACTTGCTACCTCTGATGGAGAGCAGAGATGCATAGAACATCATCTGCACTCCAAGACAGGAAATTTGGACCAGTGATGTTCCCTTAACATGGATATTAAAAAACATCCTACCCGACTGAGTCACTGCCTAAAAATACCCCTGGGGGAAACACAGCTAGGGAAAGCACTTTTGGTGAAAACATAATGAGAGGATCCCAAGAAGGTGGCAAAAGAACTGTGACCTGGCAGTCTGCAGAAGAATTCTCCGAAATGACTGTGTCACAGTTACCCAGTGTCCTTATTGCATCCAGGGACTCTGCTTGCTTGTGGCCTCTCCTATGCCCTGTACATAATGAAGATCCCATGTCCCAACCATTATCTCAAATGAATCCCTCACACCCCCTCTCCTTCTACATCCCCTCTCCTTCAGCACCTGACTTCAGATAACCACTGCCTTCCCCAGCTCCCTGCCCCCATCCTCTCCATCTTATCCATTGATGGCATGGCCCCAACACACAAAACACACCCATACAATGAATGGAGAGGAGAAATTTTCAGTGAGAAAAGTAGCATCAGTGGTAAGAGGAGAAAACAGACCCATAAAGAGAAACTACAGCTTTAAAAGGGGCAGCTTTATCACAAGGAACTAAGGTGGCAAAGATAACCAAAATTAGAAATTAAAAAGGAGGACAAGGGTGGTGCATGCCTTTAAGACCAGCACTTGGGAGGCAGAGACAGGTGGATCTCTGTGAGTTCGAGGCCAGCCTGATCTACAGAGCAAGTTCCAGGACAGCCAGGGCTATACAGAGTAACCCTGTCTCAAGAAGGAGAAGGAGAAGAAAGAGGAGGAGGAAGAGGGGAAGGAGGAGAAAAAAGGAAGGAAGGAAGGAAGGTGTTATAGCCACAAATACAATAGGGATAATTCAAAGGTTATATTATAATATATTCTTAGAAACCTCCAGAAAGCCAAATTAATTTTAACAAGGATGATGCTGATGGTCCCTGAGGTTGGCCTGACCAACTTTTCCTTTTGGTTTATTGGATCTCACCATCAATGCCATTTTCTCAAGGACTTCTCTAGTTCCACCAGACCATGTCAGGCTCCTCTCTCTAAATTCTGTTATCTCTACTTGTCATTTTCAGCACTAACACAATGGAACTTGTACTGATTTCCATGAATTGAGGGCATAATGTCACCCCACTATGCTAGTGCTGACTCTGGAGTCACCCTTATGGTCTAAGTCTCCAGGATCACTTCTCTTGAGTTGGCTGTCCCTCTAAATCAATGAATCAACCTCAAATGACTTTCTTTGTCAGTTCTGAACTTTGACCCATCTTAGGTGGCCCTGCCAGCTTGCCTTGGAGCTCTCCTATATGGCGTGCAGCATATCTGTCCATACGGGATAGGAAGGGCATCAGTGTTGTGACCTGGAGGCCCAGTAAAAACAGGCAAGGAGACTTTTAAAACAGTTTTTGCATGTATATGTGTATGTGTGTGATGTGTGTATTTACATATGTTTACATGTGTGTGGGTATGCATACATATGATTGTGTGTTTCTGTGGAAGACAGATGTTGACATAGATGCCTGCCTTGATTTCTTCCCACCTTATGTAGTGAAGCAATGTCCTTCATGTGAACACAAAAGCTAGAAGACTTGGGCAGTCTAGCTATCTAGATAGCTTGAGGAATCTCTTGTCCCGGCCTCTGGAGGACTGGATTATAGACAGGCCACCACCATGTCCCTGCCATCCATTGTTGGGGATCTGAACCCTTATCCTCATCTTTTTGTTTTGTTTTGTTTTGTTTTTTTGTCCTTCGCCACTGAACCGCCAGCCCTAGCCATACAGGAGGCTTTTATATTTGCTCGTCTCTATTTGGTGAAAACCATGTGTTAGAAGTTCACCAAGCAAGAGATCCTTTTGTTCAGGTGAAAAAAATAGCAGATCATCTGACAGAAATAAATGTATGACCTTATGCAAGATCTAGGGGCCACCCACTGGCCCCATGTTAGAGATGCCAGGACGGACCTTCTTGATAAATTGATAAAATTATGTCCAACTCTCTTTCTTTCTCTCTGCATGTTTCTCTCTCTTCCCCCTCCCTTCCGCTCTTTCCTCTCTCTTCTCTTCTTTCCTCTCTCGTGCTATTCCTGTCTCCAGAGGCCAGTCTCCCAAAAGAAAAAAATACGTTCAAGGTTCAGAAAAGCTGTGAATATTGGAAAGATGTAGCTTACTCCACAGCTATGCCTGTGGCAAAAGCCTGCAATGTGCTAAGCCACAGTCGCCTATAGGTTCTGGGACACACTCTTAGCCTTGGCTCTAAACATGGTAGAAGTTAGTTAAATGACAAGAACAAAAAAATCTTACATTATTCCCCAAATAAGGTTTGTCCACTCAAGGGGCATATGAACCCAGGAGCTGGCCCTGGAAGAACTCTCTCTTTCTCTCTCTCTCTCTCCCTCCCTCTGTGTGTGTGTAATTGTGTGTGTGTGTGTGTGTGTGTGTATGTGTGTGTATATATATGTATGTATGTATGTGAGATTTTGTGCATATGTGTGTGTGTGTGTGTGTGTGTGATTGTGTATATGTGTGTATGTATGTAGGGGCAGCTTTCTTCATCCTTCTAAGCTCCCAAATTTCATGGGAATCATAGACTCCAGTGCCATCCCCCACACTGACCTAGCAGAACTCAAACTTGGCATCCAGGGAAGTTATTGCAAATCCCATAATAACCTCTGCCAAGCATCCTTTTACTGTTTAAGCAATAATCCACCTACATCTTTTGATTAGCCCGGACATAATTTTAAAATGATGAAGAAAACTATTCTTGAATAGACACCTGTTTATAAACTGTAGATGACTGTGCTGCTAAAAGGGCCCATAACTTGCTATGGTTCCAGTGGTAACTATACTGCTGCTTGTCTAAACTACATAGGTAAATTAGCCTATACAATACTATGGGTAGAAGAGATAGTCATTTTGTGGCCCAAACTAAGACCATGGCAGAGTGGGCATGGAGAGAAACCAATGGACCTCAGAGATGCTTTGGAGGAAAAGCAACTGCATTGGTAAACAGAAAGGGCTGAAGAGGGAGAGTGAGAAGACTTCTGCATAAGAATGACTCAGACCTTCATAACTTCCCCTCTGTCCTAAATAACTCTAGGGGATTTCAACATTTGTAAACCGGGGAGTGTTCATGCCCATTGTACCAAATCCAGATTGCTGAGCTGCTAACTTGGTAAGAGTGATCTGTCTTGAGCCAGCAGGACAAGTGTGTGCAGGCAATCAGGCACTGCACAGTCAACAGAGTGTGCAGTGTGGTGGGGCTGCAGTAGCTGAGCATGGTAGAGAAGGACATCCTTGTTGGGTGCCTGGAGAGTGAGAGAAACTGACTGCAGGAATTGTCACCACACCAGACGTGCCTCATGTAGGGCTGGAAACTTTTGATGAGGATAAGAGTGAATGCCAGGCTGCCATGGTGGTACATATTCCATTCAGATGACTCAGAGCTGAGTTTAGAATCACACAGTATTGTGGGACTTGGATTATTAGGAGAATTACTAGTTCTAGCCACATCTGGAATGTTGGAGAAGACTGCTGGTCCCTGTGGACACAGACATGGTGACCCTCTCTCACATGTTTATGTAGATAGCTCTGCTCTTCATGCTTCTCGTCTGCATGATGAGAATGCTGAGTGTCCATAGGCTAAGCCTCAGCTTCTCCACAAGCATGTCCTAAGCATTCCCTGAATCTGCCCAGAACATACTGTGTCATATAAATCGTCTGCACACTTTTCTGACTGTGCCCAGGTCCCAAAATCCGGAATGATGAACAGAACAAACTCCTCTTCCTATTGTGATTTGGGGCTTTCAAAGACTTTAAAGGCCCCTGGCTCCACTAGGTCCTCTCTTCCTAGTCAGCTGGGCAGGGTAGACAGGAAAGGACAGCATACCTGTCAAAAGAAGGCCGTTCCCCTGCATCGAAAGCATCTCTCAGCTGCTTCACTAAGTTGTCCTGCCCAGGGAGACGGAAGATGCCCTCTTCACTCACACCATGCTCCAGGATGAACTCTGCACACTTCTCCACCAGGATGGGCACCAGATGAGGGCCAAACTTCTGCTCGTAGGCCACAGTCTCATCTAGCCGCTGGCCGAACACCGCTGGGAAGAAAAAATGTGGGACCCTTTAGTTATTCTGATTTTTGTGTCAATGGGTGGTCAGAGGCTTTGCACGTTTCATCTCCTTTTAAAATCAACAACATCATCATTATTATATTACACATGAGTGTGTTGCCTGCATGTGTGTCTATGCACCACATGCACAAGTCCCTTGGAGGCCAGATGAGAGCATTAGACTCCCCTGGGACACGAGTTACAAATGGTTGTTTGCCACCATGTTGGTGCTGGGAACCAAATCAAAACCAGTCCCGTTGGAAGAGTACTGGGCACCCAATACTGGACACCCAATACTGGGCCCATCCTGGGTGCCCAATACTGGTGCCCAATAACTCAGTGTTATTAACCACTAAGGAATCTCTCCAGTCCCTTTTTTCTTTGAAAATATTATTCACTTTTAATTTAAAATTTTTGAGATTTTCACACATTAATATTGTATTTACATAATTTCCATCCCTCACTCTTCCACCTCCAGCTCTTTCCACGTGCCCTGCTCTTCCCTCAAATTCATGAGCTTTTTCTGCTATAATTATTGTTTTATATACACACGCATGTGTACACATGCATAAGCACGCATGCACACTACTAAATCCATTTAGTGTTGCTCTATGTATTTGCTTAAGGCAATACTTGGGATTGCATAATCTATCAGGGGGCTTGTCTCTGGAGAAGATTAATTCTCAGCAGCCATTGATGATCTGTAGCTCTTCATCTAGGGGTAGAGATTTCCCTCATCAACACTGGCATGTCAGCTGGTATTGTCATTGTTTGGCTCATGCTTATTTGACCATGCTTGTGAACTTTCATGGGTACATATTCCAGATCTTATACAGCAGACACTATCTCACAGCAGAGGTCCTGGTCTCCTAGCTCTTACAGTCTTTTGCTCCCCTCTTTCATGACATCCCTAAGCTTCAAGCTTGTGTTTTTGATGTATTAATTGGGCTTGGGCATCACACAATCAGTTGCTCTGTGAATTTTGACTAGATGTGAACTTCTGTAATGATCTCCAGCTGCTGCCAAAAGAAGTTCTTTGATGAGGGATGAGAACTACATTTATCTGTGGGTGAAAGGTTAAGTATTAGAATGCAGCTAGGAATATACTGTGTAGGAAAGTGGAAATAATAGGTTTTCCTCTAGGGTCCAATACCTCACCAGCCATGAGTAATTGGCTAGGTCTATAGTACCAGGCATGAATTCCCTCCTATTGAGCAGGTCTTCAATCCAATCAGACAGCTGTTGGTTGCCCCAAGATATAAGTGTCATTATTGCACCCTTAGGGATATCTTGCTATCCTGCTCATGGCTGTGGCTTTACAGTTGTGCAGAACTATTGATTACTTTTCTCCTTTGACAGGTTGCATAACACCTTTTGCTGCTAAGACAACTGTGTAAGGAGTACGGTTTTTCTGCCCACCGCCTGGTTTTGTCCTGCCGCTGCGCCGCCCCCAAACACAACTGGTCCTCAGGGAAGAACTTCCAAGCCAATGCCTGCTCAGTTTGTCTGAATTTTATGTCTAGTGCATGTGGTGTCTTCAGAAATAGGGTTTACATTCAACTTCTGGGAAGAAACTAAGGACAGCCACATTAGCCTATATTTGGGAGGCTCTTCTACTTCCCTGGTCAACTGCTTGACAAGAGGTATTTATTCCTGGCACTGGGGTTTTGTTAGACAGTCTATAGCTCTCAGAGGGAACATTATTGATGCAGAAGAAACTCAAAGTGATATAATTGGTATTATAAAGGACTTACTCATAGATTTGTTTAAGAGACATTAAGTCAGACAAGTAAAATTTAGATATAGGAGCACTGTCTCTAAGATACCACCCCACCCCCCATCAGTAGCATGCTAACCAGCCTGTTAGAAGAGAAATTTAAGGTGCTAGGATGTAAATGTATATTCACTGGGATTGGCTAGTCATTAGGCTATGTGGTGATTTGAAAGAGAATGGCCCCATAGGCTCATAGATTTGAATGTCTGGTCACTAGGGAGTGACACTATTTGAAACAATTAGGAGGTGTGGCCTTGTTGAAGGAAGTGTGTTGCCAGGCCCAGTAGCTTGCTTTTCCTGCTGCCTGATGATCCAGATGTGGAACTTTCAGTTACCTCTCCAGCACCATGTCTGCCTGCATGCTGCCATGCTCCCCACCTTGATGATAATAGACTAAACTTCTGAAACTGTAAGCCAGCTCCAATTAAATGCTTTCTTTTCTAAGAGCCACCATATTCTCTTAACAGCAATAGTACAGTGACCAAGACAGACTCCACTCTCATGATAAAGACATATCTCTAAGGGGCAGCTCAGGGCGGGCAGTGCAGATTCATGGCCATCTCGTCCTGCCATTGAACCAATCCCCTGTGCCCTTATCAGGAAAGACAATCCTGCCAGGTGGGCAAGATGGCCCTAGCTAACAATTATTTTGAAAGAGAACAGTGGCATGCTTAAAATAATTCTGTCGATGGGAGTTGGTGGTGCATGCCTTTAATCCCAGCACAGGGGAAGCAGAAGCAGATGGATCTCTGTGAGTTCAAGGCCAGCCTGGTCTACAGAGCAAGTTCCACACAGGCCCCAAAACAATAAACCCTGTCTGGAAAAACAAAACAAAACAAAAAAACACAAAACAAAAAAATTCTGGCAATATGTGACATATTTGTTATATAAATCTCCTATCTGCCTAAGCAGGCAGACTTGCAGTCTCCTGACTCTGTTTAAGCTATTGAAATGTAACCTGGGGCGGGGACCTAAAAGAGATGTAAGGCCATATGTAAAATGCATAACCCCAAGGTGCATGTAAGCTAATGAAATATTGTACTGCAGAGTCGACTCTTCATTGGCCATTAGCCCCAGACAGCCAAGCACTAGTGAAGAGCTTTCCTTCATCTCTAAGTGTGTTTCTCACTGAGAAAGCAGATTATATCCATTACATTATGACAGATAGCCCACTGCATCTCAGGGTGTCAGCACCAGGCATGACTTCTCAACATGCCCTGCCCCAGCTACCGATCTAGCAAGTTTACTAACGTGCCTGCAAGGCTCGGGGTGGTTGACAGTGAAATGACTATGATAGTGTTGTCACCTCAGGGCTGCTGTCAAGAGGAAATGAATGAGCACTGGTAAGCAGTACCTGACAAGCTTCCTGGCACAGGGAGCTCAGCAAAAGATGAATGTTATCTTAGATACATTTAAAAAAAAAAGGTGGGGTGCTCAAATGGAGACTGACAGAAATAGCCTCAAATGGATAGCCTGGGGAAATTCAAATAATTTGTCTTCAGGTCTTGTTTAATATTGTTCTAAATTCTTTAAAGGTGACAGAAAAATCAAGAACTGAATTCTGCTGGTGACATGGAACATCGACGTCAAGGCCACTTCCTGTAAAATCCAGAGTGCTTCCTCTGCTTTCCAAAGCTCAACCACGGTGAACATGTTCACTGGAATGTCCACACACGAAGGCATAATATTTGGTTATTGCTGGATTAATTAAATAGTGTTTAGATAGGCGCAGCTCTTTCATGCTTTTGAACCATTTTCTTGGGGCAACTTTCTGCATGTTGAACTATACAGGGTCAAGTGGTTTGGCCCAATGGTATGCAAATTGCTTTTCAAACTATTTTTCCAAATTACACAGCCTCCAGCCAAGCAAGCGTGGGCCAGCTCCACCTTGGCTGTCAGCACCCAGCTCTGTAATTTCCCCACCCCTGAGCCTGACAAGACTAGACCTATATGAAGATAACCACTGCCCACCTGGTCATCCCACAAGCCCGAGGCTCCTCTGTACCCTTCAGATTCAGAGGACGATGGCTTCAGTTCTGTCCAAATCTGGACTGTGTCCTAGAAGCTGGCCCTTGCAAAGTCTCTTGGTTCTCCCATGACTCTCTAGCTATTCTCTATTCAGACATAGGTTAACATGGATTGTGCCTGTGAAGAACAGTATTGGACTCCTGAATCCTCATGTCCTCCTGGCCTCTGCTCCAGTATCTGGCATTTTCAAAACCTTCTGGTTCTTACTTCTCAAACCCGCTGGTATGTCAGAACATCACTGCTCTGCTGTTGAAGTCATACACCTCTTCCTCAGTTCCTCGACTTGCCCTCAGTTCCTGATGGCTCCTCCCTCACAGCATCTAGTTCTGGGAATTGAGGATATCGACTCTGATCCTGAATCTGCCCAGATGTTGCCTGTTTGTGTCTCAGTGCTAGCCTGACATCCATCTACCATTTTTGTATGGCCCACTCACATGTATTCAAAGGCATCTCGCTCTGATGCTCCTAAAACAGTCTCCCCAGCTTCTGCCCTTGAACACTCTTCTCCTCCCGCATCTGCCCCTTCCTTGACTCCTGGGATTCCCTTTGTCTCTCCTGGGCCTTTCCCAGCACCATTATCTCTGCCACACACTTCTTGATCTCAGGTAGAGAAACTCCATCCCCACTGTGCGCACCTTTCTTCTCTGCCCATTCCACCCCTCTCACATAGGGCATTGCAACTTGTATGTCTATGTCTGGAAATGTCTGGAAAATGTAGTCAGAAAACACAGGTGAGGTCTCTTTTCTTCCCCCAGGGAGCCTGGCACAAGGAGGATGAACAATAGATTTTGCTGAATTACTTACTGGGTTAATATCTTTAAACGAAGATTTTTCCAAAACTCGTGGCTATTCTGGCATTTCTTTAGTTGGAACACTAGCAGTTATCACATAAATTAATCCATTTTCTCTGTAACAGTCATCAAGTGCCTGGCATGAGCCAGCAGCAGCTTTGTAGAATGACAAGGAGCAGAAAGACCTTGTCATTGTGTCCAATTAGCCAACTTCCCATTATGAAAATGAACGGACCACACAAAAAATGCCAAGACAATGACAATGTTTGAGACCACACAGAATTGGGCTTCTGTTTGCTATGAAAGGAGCTGCATGGGTATTTCCACCATGCCAGACGATCATGCTGGAAATGATATGACTTAAAACACAGACTGTCAGCTCACACTGGGAAATT